TAGAGACAATGGAAAGTCATCACTTTCTGCCAGAGCACAACTTGTCTGCCTCCCCTCCTTCATCCTGTACACTACAGAGTCTCGAGATCTGCCACGAACAAGGGAGGACAGATGAAAACTGTTGGGACATCACTGGAGGGTGTTAAACACTAGGCTCAAAGCAGGATATCTAATGGCCTTCCAGGCTGGCAGTCCCTCACTTCTTACGCCACAGCAAGAGGAGACTAACGGCCTGTCTTGATTTAATAGCACAGTTACACTTATGGGCATTAGACACCAAGGTACAAACCCGATTGCTTGCTAGTTATCCATTGGCGTGACGGTTATTTCTGTGCATTCACATTAATGTGCCACCAGGGACAGGTTATCACTGCATAAGGGAGGGTAGTGCTGGTGAAAGGGACCCAGCTGAGAGCCAAGTGCTCAGAAATCAGAGGACACAGGGCAGGTGCAGAGAACGGAGGCAGCAAGCCTCCCTGAGGATGCATCTCAAACCCTGACCCCCTCCAGGCTGGTGAGTGCAATCCATGCCCCACACAAGGCCGGGCCCTGCCGCTGAGATGGCTGACGAAAGTTTAAGTCAATGCCAGCTGGATGGGACGGGGGGGAGAGGAGGCGGATTTTGTGGCACTCAACCACTAGGCACCAGAGCAAGGCCAATCTCAGCAGGAAAGGGCGGGGAACATTTTGTATCATGGTGTAGGTTTGTTTAAGTGCCATTAGTTGCTGGAGTAACCAGGGTGGGTACCACAGCACCAGCTCTCCCCGCTGCTGTCCCCGGGCCCCATCCATGCTCAGTGGGAGCCTACAAGCCCAGCCCAGCAGCTCCTCTCCAGGCTGGAAAAGTGCACCTAGGAGGAGACAACAAGTTCTGGTTGCTAGATTCTGGAGTGCAGTGGGGGGCCCGTCTCACAGTACCCAGGCAAACGGAGAGCAGGGCAGGCAGGGAGTGAGAGAAAGGGATGGCTAGCCCCTCCCAGCGTCCCACGCTCCTACCACCCGGGGAGAGGTAGCAGGCTGGGGGTGGCATGTGGACAGGGTCAAGGGGAAGAAATAGGGAGTGTGAGGCCCAGCCTTGCTACAGCTGCCTGATGAACACGTGGCTGGCTCCACAGTCCCGTTCGGTCCCATTCCCACCAGGCATGGAGGAAGAGTTCTGAGAAGCGACTGTTTCAGCAGCTCCCCATGCTGTGCATGAAGCCAAAGACAGCGTGCCCTTCGCAGCTAGATGCTGCCTGCCCAGATCTGGGGAAGAGGCAGCAGTGCATCTTGCAGCAGGGAAATGAGAACCAGCACAACGCCCGAGGCCGTTTACAGCCTGCGGATGCTGCATGCCCGAGATCACCAGCCAGATCCTTCCCCACCTACCTGCCACCCTTTTCTTCCTCTCTGCCCCGAGTGCAGTCCTATACAGTCACTCCCCCACTGACCCCATGGGAGAAGTGCAGGTCAGAGTATTCCCCCACCTCTCCACCTTGGTCTTCTGAGCAACAAACCTTGTTTTTAAGCTTTGCAGGCAAAGGTCAAACTCAGCATGAGGCTGCATGCTGCTTGCGCTGGGCCTGCTTTGGGGGCACATTCATCACGACCATGGGTGGCTGTGGCAGACAGAGGCACAAAAGAGCGGCAGTAAACAAGCACCAAACCCAGCTGAATGGCTGCAGCAGGCCAGTTGTCATTGCTTATTAACCCTTTCGCATTGCAACGCACATGCTGACTGCCTATGCTGAGACCCTGCACTGGCAGCTTGAAGGGGATAGCAGTGGCCAGGGATCTCTCTACACGTCCATGAAGATGGAAATTCCCCCCCCCCCCCTTCCTCTTACAGCCAGACCAACTGTAATTCGCCCTCTGCCACAGGTTCAAAAATAGACTCAACATCAAGTGCATTGACAGACTGGTGCTGGTAGCTAACGAGGCATCTTTGACCCACTTCGCTCTCAGTCACTGCAGCACCCAGGGCCGGTGCTACCATTAAGGCAAACTAGGCGGTTGCCAAAGAGTTGGGGGCACCAAAAAGCGGTGCCCTCCAATTTTTTTTTTTAACAGAGTTCCTCCCCGAGCGCGCGGTCGCCACTCCACTTCTCCCGCCTCCCAGGCTTGCAGCGCCAATCTGCTG